ATGAAGGTTGAATGATGGAATGATTCGATCTCTCAATTAACAACCTTTCTTTTTCGTTCTGTACATGTTCTGGTATATATAGATAGGTCAAAAAATCAATGGGACGAGACAAAAGCCTTTAAAACGTGAAAATAAAATTTTCCGTATAAAGCTGTCGCTCGAGCGAAGAGCCACGACAGTCGAATGATAGTATGTTGCTCGACCGAAGGAGGTGTGACAGTCCAGCGAAGCAGTTTCTATTTTTGTAGCTCGAGCCAACCCTTGGCGATAGTTTTGGTAAAATTCGCGCCGTTTTCCACCTTGTTCCAAACTCGAAACCCTTGACCTATTTAACTAACTTTTAAACAAATTGCACATTACTCCTTAAACTTTGACACTCTATCAAATTAAGTCCTTTTGTTCACAGATTTAGCCAATCACAAAATCAACTAAAACCTAACAAAACCAATACAAGTCAGTTCATGACTACAAGATCTTGAATTCAAATTTCGACAAGTATCAATTCTTTCTTCAGTTTAATCAATTAGTAAAGATTGAGATTTCATGGTTACAAGATTAGATTCAGAGTATTTTTCAATTGTATAGGCAATAAGCATAATCAAAATATAAACTTCAATATAGCAGCAATTTATCCAAAGTGATATTCATTGACCATTGTGACAGACACAACCAAACAAACAAGTGAAGTATCAAAAGAACATTAATTTGAAAAAGGAACTCAACCTAGAAAGAGAGAAAACTTATGTAACTGAAAGAACACAATTGTGAGCAGAGTGCACCATTGTGGCATTTGATCAAACAAAATCTGGGCATAGAACAAATGATTCTGTAATGACCAGAAAGTAGTACTCAGTTTCTTCGAAGAGGACAGATGAGATGGGGAAGAAAGAGAGAAAGTTCCCAAGCTAACAACAGTTGCTGAAGTCGCCATGGCTACAGCCATTGTTTTTGCTTGTGTGTGAGGCTGTGGCTATGCGTGTGTTTTGCTCAGGGACGGATGCACAACTTAAAAGTTAAGGGGGCACAATCGAATTTGAAAAGAAGTTGGGAGAAATTTTACAATCGAAAATTTACGTCCAAAAAAATCATACCCCATGTAATTTTATATTTGAAAATTTACATGGGATATGACTTTTTCGGATGTAAAATTTCGAAAATTTTTGATGTCATATTTCATATAAAACTAGTCTTTCCCCCGTGCGATGCACAAATTTATATTAAGTGATAAACAATCCTAATATGAGCAACATATGCTAATTGAGAGCTAGTTGCTGTTGCAGCATCCCAATCATATCTAACATGAGATTATTATGTTAATTAGGACAAGACCTATGAAA